CCTCTCCCATGAGTGTATTTAAAAAAAAATTAATTAAAAAATCAATAATTCCCCCCCATTCCGGAGTGCCATACTTCGCGGCTTTCAGACTTTGCATGAACTTTTGTGACCCCAACAGCAACCGGTGCTCACATGATGTGGGCCTAGCGTAGGGCATATTATATCAATCTTGTGATTAAGTTGTGATGCGAGCAGGTTCACTGACTGGTCTCGGTGGCGAATGAACCCGACAAGACGCTTGTATTTTTGTAAAACTTTCTTTCCTTTTTAATTTTTTTTTCACAAGTGACAGATTTATTTATTTTCATGACGTCACTTAAAAAAACAAAAGCAAAACAAGGGCGTTTGCAGCGGTTGACCCTTTTTACAGCAAATAAAAATTGCAAAGGCACCAATGCAAATTGCCGCGGTCTATTTCATTCAAAAAGCCCTGACGTCTTCTCCTTGAATTCGAAATAATTGATGCTCAACCAGGGAGGTGGAGGGAACCTGAAGTGCTGGGCGTAAACCCAGATTATAAGTTGGGTCCAGTTCCTGCCTGTGACTTAAATGTACTTTTAATTAAGTTTACGGGATAGGATAAAAACTCAACCCGCTTTCTCTCGTGGACAAAATTCGGATGGGAGAGGAATGCAGAAAGAAGTGGCGAGGTGGAAGCGCAGCGTTGCGAGACGTGGAGGAAGCTGGCTCAGCCAAATCCGAGTCTCTCGGCAAAATCTAGACCCAACTTAGATTATTTAGCAGACTTGGGGTGGGGGCGAGGCGGTTTATACATAGATAAGGGGTGGGGGGGGGGCTCAAATCTAGGTCAAATCCAAGTCTGACCCAGTTTTCAATATATGGTTAACCCGCTTGTCCAGTTCTTGAAAATTTAAGGTTCTTGCCCACCACTAGAACCTAGAACCTACTACTAGGCTTAGATGACTAGATCTAGGCAAATGTAAGCTCACCTACAACCAATTCGAATTTAAATTGTATGGTTAACTAGTTACAGTTTTTCGCACAGCACTTTATTGTATGGATAACTAAGTTGTTCGCACAAATGTACGGATAACTAAGTTGTTCGCACTATTGTACGGACAACTAACTGGTACAGTTGTTCGGACTATTGTACGAATAACCGCTGCCTAAAAAAATTTAGAGTCTAGCTCATGTATTTGGGTGGACTTCCGACCACCCCAACAAACACCAATAAAGAGGAGACCTAACCGTAACTCAAACCCTAATCCTAACCTTACCCCGAACCTAAACTTAAAAACCCTACCCCTACCCCTCTGGATGATTTTGTAGTTTCGTTCGTTAAAGTCCGAAGCTGAACACCAGAGACCTTTTATTGCCAGGTAATCGTTGAGTGAACTAAGCGTGAGACTGGGAGGAAACACTTTTTAAAGCAAAATTCAAGCAAAGAATGATGCTTTTTCAGCAGTTCCCACCCCTCAATTGTTATTGGATTCATTTTTATTTACTACCGATTTGGGCTCCAAGAGTCAAGAGTAGGGGGTTTCAGGGTTGTCCCCCTGACCTAATAAAAAATATAGAGGG